AATTTGCATGAATCCTTAATGTGTGATGCCCAGGATGGAACTTTTTATAAATTATAGCACAGTATTTTTGATTTGGAAATTTAACTTATCCTTTTAACCTAAGGATGTGTGTGTTTGTGTGTGTGTGTGTGTGTGTGTGTGTGTATTGCTGGAGTTAGACCAGTTAGACCAATTCCAGGATATCTTATGTTTTGCCTTTCTGTTAAGGAGTAACATTCTTGAAAGTTGTGAAACTGCTGGATCCAGTGATAAGAAGGGGGCTGATATCAGTGACACTCCATTAATTGCAAATGGTGGTTTCAAGCCTTCTAGACCTCCCAGACCCTCTCGACCACCTCCACCCACTCCACGTAGGCCTTCAGCTCCAGCTGGTATGTGAATATCACTGTGAAATAAGTTTTCAAAATCTCTTGAGTTCAGAGTTTATTTTACTTATGAATATAACCTGCCCTCTGCACTATTTTATTGAAAATGTCACTTTCTGACCTTCAGCAAAACATTCTCAAACTATGAAAAGAGAAGTTTATAATCCTTAGACATGTATGATTACAGTTTTGAAAATTTCTTCATATTTAAATAATAGATTTTTCATACTGAAATGGCTTTATATATGGCCCACTGAAGCTGCAATCTGGGAATATTCTCTTTAAAGACTTCCAGATTTTTGTGGTCAAAAGAATGAGAATTTTTATCCCAAATTGTTTGTCCTAATTTGCTGAAACTCACTGTATAGTTTCTCTAAAATGGAAGTAGTTAAAATTTAACTGGGAGCTACTTTTTAGAAACAAATTCAGCACTAGAGTACTAATTTTTAATGAGGTGTTATAAATGAATTTTTATATTTAAGTATTTTCTAAAGAGCGTTGTTACTGACCATTCTTAAGCAACAGTCTAATAATGCTGTTATTATCATATACCATGTAGAAACCTAAAGGCTTTCTCTAATGAATTAGAATAAGAATAAACATGGCCTTCTTTCCAATCTGTATTCTCTGCAGCATGTGTCAATGGCCCTTCTTCCACAGAATCAGAAGGGATTAATAAAGAAGCTGTGCCAACCACAAACACATCAGCAGCAGAACCAAGCTCTGAAGGAGTGACTGCAGGGACAGCTCTTCCTGCAGCAGCGCCTTTAGCTACACCACCAATATGCAGACAAGTTCAGCCAGCAACTCCCATTTCACAGCCACATCATACAGTTAGCCAAGGTCCTCTTCCACCTGGGCAAGTGTTCAATGTTACTGTGTTCTGTATTAGAAGTATTTTTGTAGCTCAGCATCTTTTCCTCTGAAAGACAGCACTTTCATTCATCTCTTTCATGTCTGAAATCACCTAAAATATGGTTGGTATACTTGGGAATAAAATTAACTCTGCCACCTATAAACCAGTTTTTAAAAGTTCTTTATGAAGTCAGATACGATGACCCAAATATCAAAATTCCTATAGCAGCAAACATGTTGAATGTAGTACCAAAGCAAGATAGTACTCCAGTATTGGTGGAAAAATATGGTTTATAATTAAAATTATATTGATTCCAAGGTTTGATTAGAAATTATAGGTTAATTTGAACTAGTGTGGCTGTTTCCCAATTGGTGTGACACCTTCAGGTCGTCATAAATTCTTGTTCTCAAGTCAGTGTGATATAGTAAAGGTAAAATTGTTTACATCTACATGGTCTACTTCTTTTTAGAAAGATTGCAGTCCAACACTGAATTGAATATATACAACAGAAGTGTAAACAGCATGCAGTGGGCAGCCTGTTGGAATACTTTCTGCAATACTTAAAATGTAATGAATACTGTCAGAGCCCTAGATCACATACTCAGTGGTTCAGATCCTAACTGAGAGATTAGGATGGGAAGTTGGTCCAAATTCTTCACCTACAATAGTTTGCAGAATTATTGGGAGGTTAAAATAAGAAAATCCAGGTTTGCCACCCTGAACGTTTTAGAGTTAAACAAAACAGACAATGCAAACATGACAAATATTTTTAGTCCAGGAAATTTCTGAAACAGCAATTAGTTGAAGAATTTTTTCTCAAGGATTGCACTGTAGTAACAGCAGAATTACAAATGTGAAATGAAGAGTAAGGTTTTGGTTTGTGTAAAGTCTGTGTATGAAGAAAATGCACTTGAACATATTTTTTATTATATACTGCAATTGTGGAGAGGGCAAGAACTCACTTAGAAATAAGCTACAAGGTGAATATATTTGAAGAGATTTACATGTGAATGGTTTGTATTTTTTTCCAGTTGGGAACAAAGAGTAGATCAGCATGGCCGAGTGTATTATGTAGATCATGTAGAAAAAAGAACAACATGGGATAGGCCAGAGCCTCTTCCTCCAGGGTGAGCAGTTTGTAATATATTAACTTCTGGATTGTTTTTTGATTGGTTGATATTGCTTTGGGGGTTATACATTTTACTACTTTTTAATGTTGTTGTTGTTATGTGTGGTTTTATTTGTGTATGCTGTCCTAAGTCTCATGTTGTTTGGGTGGCTCTATACATTGATTTAATACATTAAAAAAAAGTTGCTATCACTTTAAAGATGCCAGTTCCACCCTCCACCACTATCTTTATGTATCATTTAGCTTCAATTCATATATCATGCTAAAGTATAGTGACAAAATGTGTTTGTGTGTGGGGAGGGAGGGAAAAAGATTGAGCGAGAGAGAGGTGTAAACAGTGGTCAATGAAACACTGAAAATAAAAAGCATAATAAACAATTCTGTAGTATATGATTCAGGCTCTATTCTGAGGGTGATGAATCTAAACTAATTGTAGGTCTAGTGCAAGTAGCAGAAATTTGAGACATTCCCAAGTGGTTGTAGAAGAACCCCTAGGTATGAATTCAGCTTTGTTAGGTTTGCTATACTGTCACTACCCTGTTTCTGGTTCAGTGGGCAAGAAAGCACTTAAATCCCATTTTTCATAATGTTAATACATTTATTAAAAATATATATGTTACACTTGAATATTTTAAAAAGAAAAGCTATATTATTTTTGCTATTACAGACAAAGTAGACCTGCATAAAGTGCAGATGCTTTAATCAAAATATTGGAATTGAGAAATACGAAGGCATAGAATTAAAGATAAATTACTCTATCCTCACTGTTCCAGTAAAACTGAGGAATTATGGTGCTTGACCCATTTTATTTATTTGTTTGTGTGTAGATTTATATCCTGGTGGCATACATAATGCTCCCTGTTTCTTTTTTTGTGTCCTTTATGCTGCGTATGCTCTCCTGTTTTCTTCTCTTTTTTATTTGACTGCTATGTACTTTGAGGTCTGTGCATTCATTTAAATATCTTATCCGTGTTCTTTAGTTGGGAGCGCCGAGTAGACAACATGGGACGGATTTATTACGTTGACCATTTCACCAGAACAACCACTTGGCAACGGCCAACTCTGGAATCTGTCCGTAATTATGAGCAATGGCAGCTTCAGCGCAGCCAGCTTCAAGGAGCTATGCAGCAATTTAACCAGAGGTTTATATATGGGGTGAGAACACTTAAGACTGGGTTGCAAATCAAATCTAACAGATACACAGGCAATACACCATCTAATGAAAATTTAATTAAATTCCTAATGAGAATCCATTAAGTCTCCAAAAATAGTTACAGTAAAATTTAAATGCTGTAATTTGCTTGATATACATGGAAATTACTATTTTTTCCCCAAACATTTCAGTTAAAAATATTCTTAGTATACAACTCAAATGTATTATTTTTTAAAAATCTGTATGTTCATACTGTAACTAAGCTACATCCAATAACTCCATCTGTTGCTAGAAGGCTGGTCAGTGAATTGGGAAGGTAATCAGTTTTGCTGATTTCTTCTCCCTGCTACAAACCCTACTATCTGGTTCACTTTTGACCTTTATAGAATAGTACAGGCAGGAGGGGAAAATAGCTTCCTCCCAGTCCTACTGATGGAAGCCACCACTGAATCCTTCTTTTATTGGAAGACTACCTTTGCTTACAATATTATTTTGAACAGTTCTTTATTTCAGAGAATTATGACCCAGATATCTCAGTCTATGGTTTGTGCCTTTCTTGGAACAATACAAGTAATATTTAGCCCAGTACAGAGGTTATAATCATAATTTCTTCAAGAAAGAGACTCATATTGGCAATATTTAATTGGATTTTACAGAATTTCACCAGAGGTCAGTGATGTTCAGCTCACTCTTATTTTGTAAACTACTCCTTAAGTCTTGAACCCTGGTACTTCTTGTATTGCATTAATTTTGTTTATAAAGACACCTAAAGATTGCCATGATGAGTTGCTTACCTCCTTCTAGATAACCATAGCCAGTGTTGGGGTCTTAATAAACATATAATATCAAACTTGAAAGAAAAATCTTGCTTAAAAATGGTGTAACTATAGCACAGATTTTAGATGAGTGCTAAAACAGTTTAATTAGTGGCTATTAAGATGTGTCTTCTTGTGATTGTAGAATCAAGACTTCACACAGAATAAAGAATTTGATCCTCTTGGTCCCTTGCCACATGGATGGGGTAAGATCTTTTCAAGTTCTGGATCCCAATGTCACTTATTTGAAATTTATTCTTGCTGGTTTCACTTAATAATCTTCTGGATTATTTTTTCTTATCAGACATTCAAGACCCAAAAACCTATATGTAGTAGTACTGAGATGCATATGCCATATAAAATATTATTTTTTCATTTATGGAGTTAAAGCATAAGATCAATATATTTTTATTACTTTACATGCAAAACTCTATAATTTTTTTTAAATCTAGAATCAGGACTTGCCCTTTGTTTCTTAAGAGATAAACAGTCAGCAGGATATAATCTGCTGGATATTCCTTGTAGGAAAGCAAGGCATAGAAATATTTGATTTTTTTTTTCTGAGTGTAGATTTACTCTCTTTCTTGCTCTTCCACTGACACTTTATAAAGAGGAATTAAGCTTGTAGATCAATTTTCTTCCAATGGTCCTCTCCTATTTCACATCCTAAGCTTTTCCTTAGAGCCTCTTAACACTGGTTGAAAGTTTTTGAGGGCAGGGGCATCCAGATTGTTGTAGTGTAGAAGTGGGGTGGGATATTTTCCTTGAACAAATATGCCTGCATAAATATTACTTAGGTATGACTTACTGACATCAAAACTGACATAATATATTACTGTATTTTCTCTCAGAAAAAAGAACAGACAGCAATGGCAGAGTGTATTTTGTCAATCATAATACACGTATCACACAATGGGAAGATCCCAGGAGTCAAGGGTAATATCAGCATTGTTCAACCATATTCAAAAGCCTATGCTTTTTTTTTTTCTCAAGCAGCAAAGGAGGAAACATAGTATTGCTGAGTACTAAAAGATACGTAATTCATAAAGATATGGGGAATTTCCTAACTTGGATTATTTCTTGCTAAAACAAACAGCTATAACAATAAATCAAAAATTGTCCATGCACACTGGATAGAGCCTTATGGCATCACATTTGCCTCTTTGGACCTCAGTGAAAATCTTACAAAGTCTTAGTTTAAATATTAGCATTCTTTTAAGATAACAGAATTACATGTGACATACAGAATACTTACAGCATCAATATTTGAAGCTCAAAGAATGATTGTTATTTCTCTTGTCCATGCTGTTGGATATTAAAATGGTAGAAATGAAAAACAACTTTACATTATTACAAAATTTCTACTGTCTCATAAAATGTTCAGATGGCAAGGCATATTTTGAGTTTAAAAGACCTTTTCAAAAAAGAGGAGAATGACAAAAACATAGTCATAAGGAAGACAGTGTTATTTGTGCTCTTTGATAATCCAGTAGATAATAAGGAAACATTGACCTTTGAGCACTGAGCAGGAACAGCAGCATTTTTTAATGTTCTCTTACTAATGTCTGTTTTTTCCCCCGATTATGCAATCCCTCTGGGTGGTGGGTAAATGGTAGTGGACATTTAAAGTTCTGCTCAAATAATTGCAAGTTTGGATTTAAGGTGTTGATTTTTACCAGCTTGCACAGTTTAACAGTTATGTAACTTGCAATTCATATCTTTTTTATCTGTTTTTATAGTCAATTAAATGAAAAACCTTTACCAGAAGGCTGGGAGATGAGATTCACTGTTGATGGAATTCCATATTTTGTGGATCACAACAGAAGGACAACAACATATATTGATCCTCGTACTGGAAAGTCTGCTTTGTATGTTTTTTTCCCCTAAAGTAACAATACTGTTTAGGTATCTTGTATACTGCACAGAATTCCTTAATGTTCATCTCATGAAGGCAAATAGACATTTGTTGTGATGGTTTTGATTTACTAATTAGCTTTAAGTGTTAGTGAATGATAAAAAGCATTAGTTACATTCTTCCATTTGATATGGAAAAGGAACCAAAAGGTATGTTAACATAAAAGTCCTTGGGTAATCTGCTATACCAACCAATTTCTGACAAATTATTACTTGATAGCACTGATTATTATACTAGTCTGAAAGTAGAGCTTTTATTCCTCTATATACCCTTTATTCTCAAGGCAGGTCAGGGTTTTTTCTGCTTTCTGGGTGATTTCTAAATCACTTCTGTTCTGGGATAAACTCCAATTCCCAAGGATAATCAGGGCCTTTTTTTTTTTAAGGTGCTAGCAGAGTACCAGAGAGGAAACCAGACGCAAAATTATTTTTTTTATATTACTTATTTCGCAAAACAAGATAATGCTTAAAGGGCATTATTTTTCAGTCTTTTCTCTTCATTTTCTGTAAAGTAAAAAATAAATGCTACTACTACTAAGTGCGTTTAAAAGTGGGTTAACACTGAACATTAGAGATATTGGCAAGTACATTTTTTGTGCTTCAGTGTGTGTCTCAGGAACGTGTCAAGCTTGTTTCAAAAAGAACTTTTCAACTTCAGAATTGTTCTCCCTGCTTTCAGTAAAATCAGAA